GACTTATTTAACCAAATAAGTTCAACCTTTTTCACAGATTATTAAAAGTTGCATTAGACAAATTTACAAAAAAAAAAAAAAATTACTTCTAATAATTTAAAATTTCATGAAGTGAAATTGATAGGGAAATTATTTTAAGTAAATTATCTAATAAAGTGAAAGATAAAAATAATAATGGACTTGCAAGCTATAGGATTATTCTATAGTAATACTCTTAATACATATGGATAAAAAAATCTCATTTATCTTTTCTTAATTATAAAATTTGAAGGCATTCTAGATGATGACTTATTTAACCAAATAAGTTCAACCTTTTTCACAGATTATTAAAAGTTGCATTAGACAAATTTAAAAAAAAAAAAAAAAATTAAATTAAATTACTTCTAATAATTTAAAATTTCATGAAGTGAAATTGATAGGGAAATTATTTTAAGTAAATTATCTAATAAAGTGAAGATAAAAATAATAATGGACTTGCAAGCTATAGGATTATTCTATAGTAAATCAGAGTAATGAAAATATTAGAAATCTACAATTTAATTTATCATTAAAAATGTGGCAAGTAAATTTAAAATCAATACCTAACATGTCATATCATTATGGATTAAATTTGGAGAAATTTTTTTAAAGGTCTCATGCTTTTAATAAGAATTGCAGCAATAATCTGAATTTTGGGCTGGGCCAAGTTCAATCAAGGCCCGTACCAAATGAGTAGTAGTGAGCCGAGTCCTTCCAGTCCAGGCATCAAAAGTTCCGAACCTGCCCACATAACGCAAAATTGTTTAACAAAAACATTTCTCTCTTTTAATAAAAAAAATATTTGGTTACTTAGGTGCCTGTTGTGAATTCAAGCCTTGTAAATAGTTCTTTTTACCATACGTAAAACACATATTTTATGTTTATAACAAAGAAAGTTTATAAATGTCAAATATAATACGCTTAGAGATAATTACCAATAAGTCCTATTAATTAAAGTTATTTACTATAAGTCCTCAATAAAAAATAAAAAAAATTCAATTATTTTCCCCTCATTTGATAATGAGATAATTTTGAGACTTGTTAGATGTGTTTTGTGTTTGGAAATAATCATTTGGTAGGTATTGATAATGATATTGATAAATTTATCAAAGTGATAAATGACTTCCATATTTTGATTTTTATTTGTGAATTTTGATTTATTTTTAAATTATTTATATTAGTTTGCATTAAAATATAATGTGAAAAGTATAAGTTATTAAATTATATATTTTAAAAAAATTATAACAATAAATTTATTACTGAAAGTTGAATAGATTTTTTAATAAATAAATTCGATTTAAAGGATGAGTCATAACTGATCGAGTTATGCTAGAGACCCCAAATATTCTACTAAACCTCTCACATAAGTGTGGGGACTCACACACATGTGGATTTGTGTGATCTCACCCCATATAAGAGGTTTGGTAGGATATTTAGGATACATAATATTTTTCTAACTAATCATTAAAAAATTTGTCCGAAACGTTATTTGGTGGCCTTAGGATAACGTCACGTGATATTTTATGTGTTTTGATTGGTGAAAAAAATGAAACTCATGAATTTGTATTATTGAAAAATATAAAAAGGTATGGTCATTTGTGATTGAGAAAAACATGATCGCATGGTATGCCTAAACCAACAAATAATTTTTCCAAGTTTATAGGCCTAGCCAATTTAAAATATAAATAAGAAACCTTCCACATGAAAAAAAAAAAAAAAAAAAAAAAGAAAAACAGGAGAGAGAGAGAACATACCGGTAAGTCTCATACACAAAATTCAAAACCCATATAGTTCTAAAACAAAACGGTTATACCAATTAGTCATACATATTTTTAATTATTACCAAAAAAATTTATTTTATTTTTAAAATTTACAGAGCTACTATATACCACCACGATTAGCCTTTCGTCAAACGGTCACTGAAAACGCGCTAGAATGTTTAACATCACTGGAAAGTAATCGAAGTATCGCCGAAAGTTCGTCAAAGTGTTTTGAACGTCACTGGAAGTCACCAGAATATCAAGAACATTCGCTAAACATTAACGCTGTGTTTGGTTGAGAGATTTGGGAAGGAATTTGGAAATAAAAAAGAAAAATGTGTGAAACTAAATAAAATATATGTATATTTTAATAACATTTTACCTACTTTTTCTTTTCTCTTTTCAAATCCTCCAACCAAACACAACATAAGAACATCGTCAGAAACTCACCGAAATATCCAGAATATTACACGGAAAAAAAAAAGAATAAATGGAGAAATTAGAGCGAAAAAACATAACAAAAATATGCTAAATATTGATAAACTGAAAAAAAATGGAAAAAAAATATGTTATTTTTTAATTTTTGTAAGGTTTGTAAGGTTTAAGTAAATAATCTCCAATATTTATCAAACTTAAAAACAAGTTTTGAAATTGTAAAATGTTACAATTTTTTTAAAAAAAATCTATTAAGCATTTATCCTTATTAGTCAAACTAAAAAATATGTTATGAAAATGCAAAATTTTACAATTTTAAATCATGATTTATTTCAGCACTAAAAAAATTAAAATTGTAAAATTTTATAGTTTTTATCGCGTATATCTAAAACTCAAAAATAATTTATTCAGAACTTGAAAATTTTCTCCATTAAAACAGGAAGAAAAAAAATGTGTAGAAGAGAGAAGGTAGAAAAATTAAGAGATCGAAAGAGAAACACAAATATAGAGAAAAGATTGTACTTCAACAACTATATTTGGTTTAGATCTAGCCAGATCTAATGTAAATCTACTCAGACCTAATGTAAATCTAAGTAAATCTCCTCATCTTTTTCGTCTAAAACTCATTTCCTTCACCATCAATGAAGGTGAAACAAGGAGTCAGTGATCAGTAGTTGTCTGTGAACCGCAATTGATAGTGATCGTCGATCACCTGTGACTATATATCAGAACGAGAAAGAGAATAAGTAAAACGTGATCACCAGTAGCCAAAAATCAAAAAGAAAAAGAAACAGAGAAGAACGAAGGTAGAAAAAAAAAAAAAAAAAAATTTTTTAAACATTTTGTCAATTACCAAACGCGTTTGTAGTTTATGTTTTTCTAAAAATAAACAAAAAATAAACAAAAATCAGTTTATAAAATTTTTGTAAATATAAACTGAAAACGTAAACGTTACCAACCACGCGCACTTTTGAACTGCACGATTTTCCACCAATTTTGAAATAAAAGACCCTAATTATTTTCTTTAGTGGATTTTTTTAAATGGAATTTTTAGTCAAGACATACTTCTAAAAGGGACAGAATTTCGAATATTCACTGAAACGAAAATGCCAAAAGTGGCCGGAGCCTAACACGTAATAGAGTACTGCATTATAGTATATGCCTTGTTATGACAGACATAGATGCTAAGTTCTTTGAATTATGATGTAATTTCAACATTTGTTTAACGATAACACCAAATGATTAAGCCGAACTCTACAATGACCTGTTATGTGTATAGTGATAAACGTGAATAATTAATTATTCAAATTTGGTTAAAAAATTTTAACAAACTTTATAATTTATTCAATCTTAATTCATTAAGCTTTCCAGCTAATTTCAAATGAGTTTTTATAGAGTTAAGTTCAAGTAATTTAATATTTTTATGCAAGACAGAGAAACCGGACTCAACTTTCCCTCTATTTTCTCTTGCCAATTAAAAAAAATAAAAAATAGAAAAATAAAACATCAAGTTGACCCTATCTTGCCCCTCGAGTAACCATTAAAAATGAGAATCAATATTATCAAATATGACGAAGGCATCTGATCCAGCAGATGGGACATATGTTCAAGTACAAGACATCTATACTTTTATTACAAACCGATAAACACAAAGCATACCATAATACTTATAATATTATTTTTCAACAAAATGTTGACAGAGACCTCATCATATTTTAATAAATATATGATTGGAACTCCCACCCCAAAACAAGAAAATTATTGAAAATTAGAACAAGAACCAAATTTATAGACAACCACCATGCAGAGTTTTTCTCTGCAATCACACAAACAATTCACTTTTGCAAAATGGAGTCCTACGGTGAAACAAGAATGGAGAGCTATTCATACAAACCAAGAGATGCAGAAGATACTCGAAACTATCTGTTCGAGATCAAGATGGCGGAGCTTCAAAAGACGAAGGATGAACTCAAGAGAGCCAAAGACGAAGCAATGCAATCATGGCTAGACTCAAGACCTCTGATCGATGAGCTTGAAAAGCTACAATCAAGCCTTGATGCTACGAAGAATCGAAATACTATGTCGGCGATTGTAGTCTCGGACCTTGAAGCTCAGCTAGAGACTACTAACGCATCAATTACATTGAAAAAGGATGATGAACTCAGGATTAGAGTGACAATCAATGAGATAAATCAGGCTCTGGATCAGACACGTGAAGACATGGAACAACTCAAGCTTGAAAAGGATGAAGAAAAGCGAGCAAGATCGAAACTAAAGCAAGTCCTGAGGCTGAGAAAGCAAACACTTCAAGCATTGCAACTCACGCTCAGAGCCATAAGGTTAGAATCCGAAGCTTTCGGATCATCTGCTGCGGATGCACTACGCTATATCAAACATTCAGAGACGGATAGTACAATGGTTCAACTCACTCAAGAAGACTACTGTGCATTGACAAGAAGGGCTAAAGAAGAGACTTCACTTGCGGAATGGCGACTTTCTGTGTCGACGGAACAAAGAAACGTGGCCGAGGCAAGTCGAGACTCAGCTTTAAGAAGGTTGAAAGAACTACAAACCGACAACAGATTGAGTAAAAGGAAAATGAAGAACAAGATAGAGGGAGATACTACAAGAGATGCAGAAGAAGAACAAGATTCAAGGCGCAGGGTGGTAGATCAAGTTGACAATACAGAGATGGCTTTTCCTAAAGCTCGAGCCAAGTTAATGGCCGACTCAAGCCAAGGTAACCCCCAACAACAATCGAGAAAACCAAGGAATAAAAACAGAATATTCAAGAAAAAGAAACAGTCCATTTTTGTTCGAATCAGCAATTTTCTTGTACGAAAGATAACAAGATTGTTTGGATGATTCAGATGTATTCGTCAAGTCTTACCTGATTTCAGCTTGCAATATTATAACGTGCTACAAGTAAAAGCTTTACAAGAAGAAAAGATGTTTAGAAGATTTGGTTCAAGCTTTGAGTCTCTCATTGTTTTTCTTTCAAAAAGGTGTGGAAACTATGTATTGCTCTCCAACAAAACCTGTAAATAAAACAAAAAGACAAAAAAAAATATCAACCAGATAGATTGTTGTTTTCCAGAGACTTCCTATTATGATCATTGGCTCTTGATCATTTACTCAATCATTGAAACCAGAAAATAAAGACAATAAAAATCTCAACTTGAAGCATATGACAACTTCTGTTGTTCATAAAATAGTTGTGCTACACAAGAAAAGCAGCCTGCAGTTTTTGTTTGTTTTCTTTCTTCTTTTTCTTTTTAGGAACGCAAATGAAATACCGAAGTAAGTTTTTGATATGAACAAAGCAATGCTTACCAGAAGGTATCCAATATACAGTGTGACTGCCTGAACTCTACTGAAACATTTTTGAATAAGCCTTTTTCTCCCGATCACGTCTATCAACAATCTGTAGCCATTTTCTAACTTTAAAATTGGACTAAAAAAAAAAGTAAACCAAAACACACAAAAAAATATATATATATATCTTGGAACATGAGAAAATGTATATCAAATGAAGCCATTACCTTCTTGTTTGCAGCAGCAAGCTCTTTCTTTATACCACCTGAAAGATAGAATTAGAAAGTAAGGACTTGTTCCTTCATAGCTCAACAGCAATACCAGATCAGTTTCTTAGAGACCAACACACCACCACCCCCCCTCCCTTCTCTCTCTCTCTCTCTCTACATATCTACTGTTCTTTCCCTTCTTATTTTTTTTTTTTTATTCATGTTTTTACAAATAAGAACATCATGAAAATACTTCAACCCAGTACATCTCATGTATCATTAAGCACCTGAACCAAGTGCCTCTTAGTTTGCTGACTTTACACCCAACAACTGCTTTATATTCTAATTTGTGGAGTGTGGTGGTGGGTGTGTGTGGGTGGGGGGGGGGGGGGGGTTGGTGGCGCGGTGACTAGATGGCTTCTGGTTTTCTGAACACAAGATTGCAAGTAGGCTATATTTGGCTTCCCATTTGTGAAGGAAAGGGGAAGAAAATGCAAAGAAAAACACTTTTCCTTGTTTGATAACCATGAAAAACAGGGGGTCAAAAGAAAATATGATGAGGAAACAATCTTTTAATTTTAGGTTGCCATTTTTTGTTTTTTTATTGATTTTTGAACTTTTGCTCCAAATTTTTAAATATTTTGTTAAAGGAGGAGAGAAAGCATTAACTACTATGGAAAGTAGACTTTTTTTTCCTGTTCTGCTAGCTTTCTTGAACTCAAGCTCAGAAGCATAAGATTTAAATTTCTTAGCAGGACCTAATTATAAAAACTTCACAATCAATGTAAAGCACTTGAACATTTAATGTTCAAGCTGCTTTCAACATTAAATCCACGAAGCTATACACAACTAATTCTAATCCCTATTTAGGTAATCTGAACTTTAAGCCAGCAAATCAAACTTGTTAATATACTTATTAAATATTGCATTACCATCACTTGGCTCCAACTCCAATGCTTTTTTGAAACTTTCAACCGCAGCATCTACATCATTAAGTGCCATGTATGCCTGAAAAATTAGCAGAAATTCACTCACCATACATAAAACAAACTTTTAAACACATTTAGAGAAATTTCCAATAGATGCAAGTGAACAATAAGGTAGTAATAGCTACTTTTGAACCTTCAATAATACATGTCAGTATCGATGAGGGTGCTACTGTATTTAAGCCGGTACTAGTAGACCTCCGATAAGGTAGAAATAGCTACTTTTGAACCTTCAATAATACATGTCAGTATCAATGAGGGTGCTACTGTATTTAAGCCAGTACTAGCAGACCTCCGTTGTGAAGCTATCTTAACTACTACAAGAAATCCTTAAGAAAGTAGTACAGAACTAACTATCCTACATCGAGAGAAAAAAATAAAATAAATAATCCCACACAAGACAATAGAACGATAAATGATCAACATGTTACTCTAGCTATAAACATCAAGCTACGAGTCATCGTATTTCTTATCAACTGGGAATACCAACCTGCCCTTGGCGGAACAAAGCCTTCACGTTATCTTCTCCATCACGCATTGCCAAGTCTGTGTCCAACAATGCTCCTTGCAAATCTCCCAATTTCAATTTGCAGGCCTAAAGCAGGCATGTAATGCATCATTTGGTAGATAAAAGAAAAAATTGCTCAAAGAAAGACCTGCTACAACACAAAAATGCAGGTAGCAAAGCAACTAAAGATCTAACCGTAACTTCTTTTGAAATGACGAACTTCAATTTTTCTAAGAAAAAAAAAACACCTAAACAGGGTAGATGAATGTTATCAGAATCTTACGATTCGCGATTCGATTCACTATTCGATACGCAATTTTTGCAAAATCGATACGAATCTATGAGTGAATCTATTTTGAAAGTGAATCTCTAGTGAATCACACGATTCACAATCGATTCACGATTCGATTCACTTTTTACGATTCATGCAACTTTTGAAATTATTATTTTCGACTCATTTTTTCCATCTTTTTAGTGAAAATGACATAATACAACTTCTAATAACATTTAATACCAAAATAACCAACATATATATATGATTTGTTGTTATTTTAGTGATCATGGAGTTTTTTATAGGATTCAATCAGATTCAGTTAGATCTAACATATTTTTAACTTTTCTTCTCATTTTTTTCCCCTTCAAAAAATTGTAATATATCTTCTAAAGATATTTAAGATTAAAGTTACACTATGAATTATCTATTACTATTTTATTAAATTGAATATTACATGTGTGAGGTCAGTTATACTTTTTAAAATGTTTTAGGCTTTAAAATAAAATATCCAAAATAATTCTTTCTTATTATTTGTTCACTCTTACTTAGAAAAGTATATATACTTATTGTCCAAATATCAATATCGTTGTAAACTATTGTTACTCTAGAAATTAATAGTTTTTCTATTTGGTTATTATTTTTATTAAGAATGGTTGATAAAAAATATCTAAAAAATAAAAAAAAAAGGTAAGATAGTGATTTTACATAGGAACCTTTATTAACTTCTTACCTATTAAATTATGTGATTATCATTCAAAATAATATTTTTGTTGATTTAAGTATAAATATTTTATATTTATAAGATATATTTAACATCTAAATGTGTAGATATATATTTTTAAGTAATTTAGAAAAAGTGACCGAATCTTTACGATTCACGATTCGATTCGATTCGCGATTCGGTACGAGGCCATTTCGATTCACGATACGAATCCCGATTTGACAACTATACAGAACAAATAATATATATATATATATATATTTTTGATAAATATAAAGGTGTGATGACCACTATTAGATCGCCTACTGGAGAAACGAGTGAATTTTCAATTATTGTAGGGTTACACCAAGGATCAACCTTAAGTCTTTATCTTTTCGCTTTAGTTATGGATGAGTTGACACGTAATATTCAGAATGATGTGCTATGGTGTATGCTTATTGTAAATGATATCGTGTTAGTAAATGAGATTAAAGGAGTTAACACCAATTTAGAGATTTGGAGAAAAGCACTTGAATCTAAAGGATTTAGGATAAGTAACTCTAAGACAGAATATATAAAGTTTAATTTTAATAACAGTCACAATTGAAGCAGAAGAGAAGTAAAAATTGAGAACCAAGAACTACCTAAAAGTAAACATTTTCGTTATTTAGGATCGATTATCACAACGACTGGAGAGATTAGAGTGAATGTGGTCCATAGAATTAAGACAGGGTGGCTTAAGTAGAGGAGTGCATCTGGAGTACTGTGCGATAAACGAGTACCCATTAGACTAAAAGAGAAATTCTATAGAACTATTAGACCAGCGATGTTGTATGAGACGGAATGTTAGGCAATTAAGAAACAACATGTAAATAAGATGAGTGCTGCTAAGATGAGTGCCGCTAAGGTGGATGTGTGGCAAGACTAAAAAAGACAGAGTTAGGAATGAGTATATTCGAGAATGGGTAGGAGTAGCACCGATAAAAGATAAGTTGAGAGAGAATAGATTGAGATGGTTTGGTCACATCTAACAAAGACCAACAGAAGCAGTCATCAAGAGATGCGATAGAATGACGGTAGATGATAGTATTAGGGGAAGGGGTAGACCTAAATTGACGTGGACTAGTGTAGTAAATAAAGATATGAATCTTTTTAATTTGGCTAACAAAATGGCTTTGGATAGAGTCGAGTGGAGAAGAATGATTCATGCAGCCGACCCTATTTGATGAGACTTAAGACTTAGTTTGGTTTGGTTTGGTTTGGATATGAAACAGAACAAATAATGACTGCTGTAATCCAGAATAGTTAATAAAATGCTCCACAGTGAACACTGAATATCCATGATTCCTTGCCTTGGCCAAAACTTAGGTGAAAATCATGTCATGATGTAAAATTATTGGTATCTGAAGTTGAATTTAAACTAATTCCGTAATAGTAGGTAGACATGGTAAAGGCTAAAAAAGGTAGTAAAATATAAGAAAAAGACAACTCAGCTTGAATATATATATATATATATATATATTTTGGATAAATAATAAGACTTTATTAGAAGGCATCAAGATGATGCAAAAGAATACAAGGAAACCATAACTATGAAAAACTAAAAACTCCTAACCAATACCATCATCCAAAAAATCTAGGAAAACAAACAAATCCAAACACCCTACTCTCCAACCACCTATACATAGTAAACTGACAAAAAGGCAGTTCCAGCGCACAAGGCTCTACTGCAGGGTCTAAAGAGGGTCAGATGTATGCTGTTTCTTCCAACAGACAACAAATTCATAATGTAGAAGGAATAAAATTTGATTATCTGAGAGCTGGACTTGTCTGATTTATTTTGAGATTCTATCGAGTAAGAATTGTCAATCAGTCAGAAAGAATTACAAGTCTAGCTAGCTTTTTAATTCTATAGCTAGCCTGGAAGCTACTTAATAGCAAGACTGAAATTGCAGGTTCAGAAATAGAGAAGCACTTAGCTTCCAAAATTTCTACAACTAAGCTTCTGAAAGTGGACCTATTGATAAGTTAAGCTCCATATAGGGTCACTCCTGGGACATCTCTAATTGATAATTCAAAAATGCTATATTAATTTGTGCCCTTAGCTGACGTGTGAAAAAGAACTAGAGAAAAAAATCAGAGATGGAAAAATCAATACTCCTTCCGTCCCAAAATATTAGTCGCTTATTCCATTTTTCATTGTCCCAAACTATTAGTCCCTTTTCAAAAATCAATGACTAAAATAATATGAATTTCCTATTTTGCCCTTCTTTTAAATTCATTAACAATTGATGTTCTCCAAAAAAATGTACTTTCAAAGGGTAATTTTGAAAAATTAATTTGTTAAAGTACAATAATTGTACTACCAAAAAAAGTTGGATTCCCCAAAAGGGACTACTATTTTGGGACGGAGGGAGTACAATATAGAAGTAGATCTAGTCCGTGAATAAAGTTGAGCAACTTTCCAGACATTGAGAATAATAGAAAAGGAAGAAAAAAAAAAATTATTAATTATCTTCCATTCTCAAGTTCTCCTTGCTTCCTCAAACAAAGTGCAATGTTGAAACACACATACTATTTACTAGCAGACATGTGGAGGCAGGATGTTGTTCCAACCAAAAACGCATATATTGGAAATTTTGTAAATCATAAAAACTGAAACAACTCAAGTCTAAGGAAGCACAATTCTTTATGGTGTTGCGCTAGAAACATGCTAGCCAATGCAAGGATATTCTCAAATTGATAGACTAAGATAGTAGAAAGATATGATTCATATTTAAGTTGAACATAATCATAACTGATGATTGCCATAATTTCCTTTTCAAAAACAAGTCACTTTATTGGAACAAAACAAAGAAAAAAATGAGGGAAAAAAATGATGATGCTTTCTAAAAATGACAATTTGTTACAAAAATAAGCTGATCAAGATGAGCTGACAGTGTAATAAGGACAAAGACAATCAAGCATCTCCAAGGCGAGTCCATTTTTGGTGGTCCAGGAGTACCACGTCATAATGGTCCCAACCAACTATGGTTGGCCAACTCAACCGAAGTGGGGCCCGAGATCCCATTCTCCCTCCCTGAATTGGGTCCTGGGCTCCACTGTTGCTGAGTTCACCAACCATGGTTGGTCAGAACCATTAATGACATGGTGGTTCCAGACCACCGAATATCTTCTCCACCTAGACAGCATTGGTATCATTGTGAATCAAGGACAGATTCAAATGACTGAGGTATGACATACGGGACATCTACATCTAGCCAAAATACCTCATTGCACCTATTGGCTTGAAGAGTAATGACCAGGCACTAAAACTACTACCTGTAAGTTTTCTTGAGATTGAATTCAATTGTGGCCTTCTAAAGAATAGATGGGCCAAATCGACCATGTTTACCAGCAAACATGTAGGAAGACTTGTTACATACAGAGAAAGTCAATCAACAAAAGTGTCAAATTCAATATTATTTACTATTATTAGTCCTGCCAATGAGGTGAGGTGAGATGGGAAAAGTAGACAGGATAAAGACATAAACTACTGCTTAATTGCATGAAATGGCAGCCCCCGGAATAAAAACTCTTGTTTGAGAATCTGAGCTTTTACATTGCACCAAGTAATGGCCTTTCTGTTTAGGATTAAGAGAGTTGCAACAAAGTTGAGAACAGTAATGAACATGAGATCAACATTGGGAGAGAATGAATCACTTAAAAAGGTTGCATTGATGCTGAAAAATCATAAGTTGTCCATGTATCTAGAAAAGTAATCGAACATGTAGTTTTGGTCTAGCTAGAACCAGTGCATAAATTTGGGGATTCTCAAACAAATCAAAATCGGAAAACTCACAGAAAGTTAGAGGATGAGAAAATTCACGATGAGAAGTGTTGATTAACTCAAAGGAGACTCAATAAACATATAGAATATAGACTATGATGAAACACACCAAATTATTAGTACTGTTATTATTGGTATTATCAGTAGTATTATTACTATTATGGAATTAATTTTTAAACAATAACGAGATTTTCAAATAATTAACATGCCCGCCTAAGAAGTATGGGCACGGGCACGGACACGAACATGTGACACGACACAGATACGACACGGACAAGCCAACACATTAATTTTCAAAAAATGTAGGACATGATACATGGGGGACACACATGAAATATATAATTTTATATATTTATTATATGTTACATATAAATATATCATTCAAAGATAATATAAAATGCAACATGACACTAATTCCTATAAATTTATATGGGTTTTGTTTTATTATTATATCTTAAGTTGTTTTGTTCAAACCAATAATTAGTTTCACATGTGTCTAATCGATAGACGTGTGTTTAAGCAATTAACATGTGTGTCCTCCAAGTGTCCAAAGAGTGTCTGGGTCTTTAAAAAAAATTAAAAAAATAGAACACATTTTGAAGAGTGTCGAAAACGTGTCCTAATAGTGTCCAAAGAGTGTCGGTGTCCGACACGGACACGGATACAACATGACACGGCACGGATACGTCACCTTTTTAGAAGTGTCCGTGCCTCTTAGATGCCTGCCAACATGTTTATATATTGTAAATGAAGTACTCACTACTTCCATCAAGTGAAAATATAACACATATACACACACATATATATATATATGAAAACTTACAGAGCTATTTGTAAATATCTGAGACTTTGTCTTCCTCAAAGATGAGCTTTCCTCTGTACAATCATATAGATAATCTTAACAGAGAAAAGAGCGGAAGGCATGTGGAAGCATTACAAATATTACCAAAAATAGCATAACATGGGCACATTAAATGGGTCACCTTCGTCAATGTCTTCTTCCATCTCCCAGCATACATCCAAATAGCACAGAGCCTTACGATACTTCCTAAGAGCCATTTTATAATCTTGTTTCTGTATACGAAAAGCAGACAGTAGCCACTGTTACAAGTAGAAATTATCATACAAAGCAATGGATAGCTAAGTACATATGTTGTTGTGGAGCTTCTAGGACTGGCATCAACCATTAGGGGAAAGGACAAAAAAAAAAAGACAATGAATTACTAATATTAATAGCAGAAAAATAACACATCGATTGTATAGTTTTCTTTTCTAAAAAGTGAATATTCATCCATCAAAAATAATGTTTGCAGCCTTTTTCCAATCTAAACACCACCGACCTTGTACTGTTCATTTCCAAAAGCTTTAATAGAGTCCACAGCAATCATCCACCAAGAAATTTTGTCCGGTTTCACATCAAGGTCAGCTGGCCAATCAGGGTAAACATCACCATCTTTAAAGAAGTTGGATATCCCATCATCAGCTCCCTCGGGAATTTCTCCACAATCGATGATTGTAACATCAAGAGTGGGATAATCATTGTCACCTGTATTGACATGCTCAATTGAACGAACTACCCCCATCCCTTTGATTACCTTCCCAAAAACAACATGCTTTCCATCTAGATGAGGAGTTCGAGTGGTAGTTATAAAAAATTGAGATCCATTGGTATTGGGACCTTTATTAGCCATTGATAGCATTCCTTTTCTTTCATGCTTTAACTCAAAATTTTCATCTTCAAATTTCAAGCCATAGATGGATTCTCCACCGGTGCCATTCCCAGCAGATATGTCTCCACCTTGTATCATAAAGCCTTTGATGTTGCGATGAAAACAAGAACCCTGCTCGGAATAGTGAGAAATATTAGTATTTAGCAAACAGAGAGCTTAACAGGACGAAGACTATCACATTAATAATGCAGTAGCCAGTAGGGGAGATAGCTTAACATGATAAAAATTATTATGTCAGCAATGCAGTAGGATAATTTGCAACAATTCAAGCCAACTGGATCTTTTCAGTTTTGAAGCTAGAAGTTGAAAGAGTTACAAGATGTGGAAAATACATGTTCTTGAGATTGGCAGTTTTTATACAAGACCACATCATAGGTAAAAGCTAAATCATGTCCCAGATATATATACAGAGACCCCAGTTTTGTGCAACTTTACAGGTGGGGCAGCCAAAACCAGGATAATAAGCAAAGATGAAGCACAAAATATGCACTTGCTAAGGAATTTTCATGTCTGATTGCCCACAGAATAGCGGACCACGGGCAAGTCTAAAGATTGATGGCCCCTTACAGTGTTTTGTGCTCTATCTTCAGTGAGTTGGAAAAAAATCATCCAGGTACACAAGTATGCATCAAAGCATGAAACAAACTATCCATAAAATTGTGATAAAATGCAGAGCCTCTCACCACATATAGTATACTTCTGAATTACCAACCCTTAATTCCCTAATTGAATTAAGACATATAAGATCATTAAGATGTCTTATTGGCCGTCAAATTGAGAAATGTGGTCTTTCAACACTCATCATTTGCAAAGTCGAAAAATAAGTTGAAAAAACAATTTTGTAGAGCAAAGCATAATGCGGTGCAAGTACACACATATGTATGCACATAGATTAATTAACACGGTGTTTCAATGATACCTGTGTTAGAAAAGAAGTTGTTTCAAAAGCTTAAGCTACTATGTCATGGACTTGACAACATCTATCAAGCTTACACATTATGTGGGGATGTCAAAGTGCATTTCATGCATAAGGTAGGGTTTCATGCATAGTTTTATGGTCAACTCGAATTACTAGATATCTTTGCTAAATGAATGTCCAACTACACATGTTGTACACATCAGATACCTTTATGGATTTATCCAAGTGACGAGTGTCTGGCACAGGTATTTCATACATTTAGAAGAGTTGTGTAATATAGATTCGATCTATGAAGAACGGGTACTCCAAAAATAGTGTCGTACGAGTACCGGATGCAGATACGTGTACCGGTACGGCTGCAAGCGTACCGAGTACGGCAAAAGGGGGTCCGGTACGTTTGGTTCAATCAGGTACGTACGTCATTGGTATGTAATGGGTATGGCATGGGTACACCATTGGTATGTTTCGGGTATGCCGGGCAAAAAATCAAATTTGTAAGAGATTAGGGGTATTGGAGCAATTTATTTATGTTCTTTATTAAAAATAAATAAAAAAATACAGTGTTTATTGTAATATTAAGAATATATACACCTAGGTTTTGTCCCTTCTTTGCATCTCTTCACTTCAGCAATAACAAAGAGAGCGGCGAGCGCAGTCTTCTTCATCTTCTTCTTCTTCTTTTTCAGCAAGAGCAACATCTCTTCACTTCAAAGCCCTCCGACGACAGCGACACAACGAGACGAAGCCCTCCAATGAATGTTCTTCATCTTCTTCTTCTTCTTCTTCGTTTCTTCATCTTTGTCTTCGTTTCTTCGTTTTTTTTCTACAGATTAACAAGTGGTCTTGCTCTTCTCTGTTCCTTTCTTCGTCTTCCCTCCGGTGAGCGTTCTTTATCTCTCTTTTCTTTTCTTTTTTTTTTTTTTTTGGATGCCCTTGCAGATCAGCAATTTTGATGGATGAGATTATTGATCTGTATAAATGTATTAGAGTGTTTTCTTGATTTTGACTCAAGTGCTTTTTTGTGTAATGTTAATTGCCGCTGTTCTTCATCTGTTGTCCTGTGTTTATGAAATCTTTCTTTGGTCTCCTGTTATTTCTTTGGTCTCACCCTATGAACATAGCAAATTGATGAGCAAAAAGAAAGATTTTAAAAATAAATTATGATAACATGTCAAAGTGAGAGATTTCACAAATATTGGCCTTGTTTGGTTTGTATTTGAGAAACATGTTTTGAGATAAAAAGTACAAAAATTTGTTTGGTTTGGTTTTTTTTCAAAAGATGTTTTGAAAAATTATTTTGAAAGAGAGTTTTGAAAAAAGTGATTGATTTGATGTGTATGAGAGAGAGATTTGTTTGGAAAATTTGTAAACCAAACAAGTTTTGGAAAAAAAATTTGGAAAAATTTGTTTGGTTTGATTACTTTTGAAAACTTATTTGTAGAGAATTTTTCTCAAAATTTTTTGAGAAACACAAACCAAACAAGGCCATTATTTTTAATGCTTAATGGTTTTAAATTACAAGAAAATGAGTTCATCAAGCAGTTTAGGTTCATCTGCAAGTGCTTCTTCTGCTCCTTCCATTGATCAATCTGGAGATGAAAATGCTCCTCTTTGGGGCTATGTTACAAAATTAGTCAAAAGGGGGGAAGGAGGAAGTGGTAATACAAAATTTAAGTGTAATTTTTGTAACATTGAGTACCAAGGGTCATATTCTAGAGTTATTTGTTGCTACTAACTGGCCATGGAATTAGAGTGTGTGCAATTGTGAAGGACAAGAGTGATCTTCTTTCTGAAATTCGAATGGCAGCTAAGAACCGGAAAAAGATGGCAAAGTATAAAAATGTTCTTTTACCACTTCCATCTTCTCAAATTAGTCCTAGCCACGGCGGCGTAGGAGATGTTAGAACATTTAGAATGGAAGGTTATGCACCAAGAAAAAGAAAGGCAATTGGGAGTAGTCCTTTAGATAAGGCATTTAATCAAAGTGCTAGAGAACATTTACATTCTTTAGTTGCTCGTATGTTCTATTTAGCTAGTTTGCCTTTCCATTTGGCTAAGAATCCATACTTTGTGGGTGCTTTTAATATGTTGTTGAGAATCAAATTATTGGGTATGTCCCTCCTGGTTATAATTTGTTGAGGACTACCTTACTTCAAAAAGAAAGGGCAAATACTGAAAGGTTATTGGAACCAACTAAAAAGTGATGGGATGAGAAAGGGTTGAGTATAGTATCTGATGGATGGACTGATGCACAAAGGAGGCCTCTTATTAATTTTAAGGTAGCATCTAATGGTGGAGTTATGTTCATAAGAGCTGCTAATTGTAAGGGTGAGACCAAGGACAAGTATCATATTGCCAAATTAATTAGTGAAGTGATTGATGAAGTGGGGCCTCATAATGTGATTCAAGTAATTACTGACAATGCTCCTGTTTGTAGTGCAGCTAGATCAATCATTCAAGGTAATTATCCGAAGACCTTTTAGACACCTTGTGTAGTGCACACTCTTAATCTTACTCTTAAGAACATTTGTGGTGCAAAGGAAATTGGAGTTACTGCATATGCTTATGATGAATGCCATTGGATCACTACTGTGATTGATGATGTAATGTTTGTGAAAAATTTCATCATGAACCATTTTATGAGATTAGCTATTTTTAATGAGTTTGTACTTTTGAAGCTACTTTCTGTTGCAGATACACGCTTTGCATCTGCAATTGTTATGCTAAAAGGGTTTAAACTTATATATCGTGGTCTCCAAGCAATGGTGATAAGTGAGAAATAGACTTCCTACAAGGAAGATGATGTTGGAAAAGCAACTGTTGTAAAGGAAAAGTTGTTAGAATGATATTTGGTGGGACAAGATTGAATATGTACTCTCATTCACATTGCCTATTTATGAGATGTTCAGATTTTGTGACACCGATAAGCCATGTCTACATTTGGTTTATGAGATGTGGGATTCAATGATTGAACGGGTGAAGGCGTGAAGGGAAGTCAGAAAATGAAGAGTCGGCCTTTTACTCTGTAGCAAGGTTTTAAAAAGCGGCTGCAACTGTTACGTAACGCTGTTACGTAACAGTTTTGGCAGTTACCGTCACCCGTTACGACCGCTTTTGCAGTGTGAATGAGATTCACAGGTGTGTTGGTCATAGCGGCTGCTGTAGCAGTCGTAACGATGCCGTAATAGCCGTAACGGCCTCTTACGCACCGTTACGTAACGGTTCCAAACTGTTTCTTTCAAAAAAAACACAAAAAAAAGCTGAAAATAGGGGAAGAGGGATGGAGAGAAGAGGGAAGATAAAGAGAGAAAATGGAGGAGCAAGAGATATAGAGAGATAAAAGGGAAGATGAAGAACATGTTATTGATTTGTTGAAACTGTAAGACCTATGCTATTCTATTCAGCTGCTATCACTAAACCATTTTGTTTGAAAATAATAATAATAATAAATGTGGTCATTATCTATTTGGCTTGGTTAAGATATGTATATATATATATATATATTTAGGCTCTTATCTATTCTCTTACTTTTGTCATTGTTTATCTTATATAAAATAGTTAGTGATTGATTTTTTGTATAATATAAAGTCATTAATTATTAAAATAAAATGTAAAAAACTCAGTTCATAGTGATTTAAAAATATGAAATATATTGAATCATACTTAAAAATTTACAAAAATTTATCAATATTTATTTTTAACCCAATAAATATGATCATGGAAAAAAAATATGCGTATCGGTAAATTTTTTTTAAATTGTGCGAAAAATAAAAAAAATTCACGGTTCCAGTTACCGCAACCGTTACAATATGGCCTTTACACCCCGCAACCGCGTCACCACCACCGTTACAGCGACCACAACCGCTTTTCAAAACCTTGCTCTGTAGTGTATCAAATATTAGTGGAAAGGTGGACAAAAAGTAGCACACCTCTTCATTGTCTTGCTCATTCTTTGAATCCAAGGTATAATTCACATTAGACTCATAGTTTATACTTTTATTTTTTTTTCATTGCATAATTTACTTATTATTTTTTTCTAATTATGAAATATATGTATTATAGTGGGATGTGGCTTCATGAAAATTCCATTCGTGTTTCTCCTCACAAAGATGTTGAAATTTTTGAGATGAGAATCAAGTGTTTTAAGAGATACTTTCCAGATTCATATGAGATAAGGATTGTTAATACAGAGTATGCTAAGTTTTCAGGATGTTTAGAAAGTTTTGGAGACACTGACTCAATATGTGATAGAGGAGTAATGGAGCCAATGGTTTGGTGGTTGGCACATGGCTCTTTTGCACCAATGCTCCAATCCTTGCCAGTGAAATTACTTGGCCAACCATGTTCCTCATCATGTTGTGAAAGGAATTGGAGCACCTACTCTTTCATTCACTCTATAAGGAGGAATAAAATGACACCACAACGGTGTGAGGATTTAGTTTTTGTGCACTCCAATATTCGTCTCTTATCAAGGAGGAGTCGACTATACACAGAAAGAGAGACCAAGTTATGGGACATTGGGGGAGATGCATTTGATTCATTAGAGGGTTCTGGTTTCCTTGAAATTGCAAATCTTTCACTTGATGAACCAGAGATGGAAACTGTTTTATTCAATGATGAAATTGATGGAAGTGAACTTTGAAGTGTTAAGTTTAGATATATAGAGCTTTCTTTTGTTTTTGCTTTGCTTGCATTATGGACTGAATTGGCAGTGTTAGAGCTGATATTTGTTTTTCCTTTCTACTACACACTCACCCTCTTCTATATATAGGAATCATGAATCATTGTAATAGATATCAATATAAATCAATCAATAATACAATTCTCTATTTCTCTTTATACATTAAATTTCTACAGAATTGAAATATATTTGTCTTTTAGTTTTGTAGTTCTCTTTTTAGTTTTGATATTTAATTTTAATTTGTAGGTTGGATCATTTAACCATAATTATAAAATAAAATAAAAATATCGGCATACCGCAGCCGTACCCGTATCATACTTTTTTGAGTTTTGCCGTATTGGCGTACCCGCACCGTACTCATATCCGCACCCGTGCTTCATAGGATTCGATCAATGAGGGTAGTCAAAGACATTATTTTTTGATAAATAGGGTAGTCAAAGACATTACTGGTGATATACCTCGAATCGTGCTAAACATGCACCGAATGTAATTGTCATTTCGAAATAAAATAAAAGTAAAAATTTATTTATATGCTCAACAATATGCTCAAACATCTTTTTAATATATTTTGTAACTAATCAAATGCTTAGCATTTGTTCTACTAAAGATGTGAGAGACAAGACAGACATATGACTTCAAATGACAAGCCATTTTTATCATCACAAAAGGTATATATAATAGGTCCAAATTAATTTTTGTTCGTAATAGCCCTGACTACTTAAATTCCAATTCATAACCTCAACAACACTACACTGAAGTATGTCCTTCACAATATGGTGTAAACTTAGTTGCATGAAGCGGGAGCGGGAGCGGGGGAGCGTGAGCCGATAGAAGTTTCTTAGGTTAGGAGCGCTTAGATATATATATATGTGTGTGTATATTATGCATATATAAATAAAATTAATTCAAAAATTTTGGAGTGGCTTTATTTAAATATATTAAATTTAATGACTTACATTGCTACACAAAAATATAATAGAATCCCATTAGAAAATTCATCACTAATACAAAATATCATTAATTCTTAATCATCTAATCAAATAAAAAGACTTGACAATATATAATCTTATTTATTATATGTAAAATTAAAAAATATATATTATTTATTTATTTATTTTTAAATTTTATTCATTTACTTTAATATCAAATTTTATTTACAAATTAATTTTTTCTTACAAAAAAAAAAATTATTTTATGTATGTTTAAGTTGAGAAAATAAGAATATTCAAAAAAATAGAAAAAAAAAAAAAAGAGGAAAGGAAAAAAAAGGGTGGGGTTTTTTTTGTTAATATATATATATATATATAATAAGGAATTAGGGACATCAAACACGAATAGAACAGAAGAGAGAAGAGAGAGAGAGAGAGACGATTGCTCAGAATGAAGAGAGAAAGACCATTGCACAGAGTCGATGAGTTCAACACAAGCGAGAGACAAAGTCGAAAGCAAGAGAGAGATGATCGTGCACGGTGCAGACTCATGGAGAGAGATGAACAGAAGAAGAAGAAAAATAAAGAACGAAGAAGAATAACAGATTAGGGCTTCAACAAGTTCTTCTTCACCCTTTCTCTATCTCTCTCTCTATATATATATATTCAATTAGTTAGGGTTTTTATCTCTCTGTATTCGAGTTAGGGTTTCTCTCTGCGTATTCAGTGAGTTAGGGTGTATCTCTCTGTTGTGCATTTCTTTTCCACCAACAATCCCATCTTGGACAGGATCGCGTTTCTCTCTCTACAGAAACACGATTCTTACACGTTTCTTTCTAAGAAACGCAGAATCGCGCTTCTTACGAAGATTCATCACCTGGTTGGACGAATCCTGCAACTAAGGGTGTAAAGTATTGCTATCCACTTACCATTAATGGGATCCACAACACTGCACCTAAGTATGTCCTTTACAATATGGTGTAAAGTATTGCTATCCACTTACTGTTAATGGGATCCATATAACTTTATATAGAATGAAATGTAGTAACACCAAATGTTCTCAAACATGAGAAAGCTCATGCAGAAATTAATGGCAAATGCACTAAACCATTAAAAATAACAAGTAAACACAAATAAATACATAAAATCTAGGTTGAAATAATGTTGTCATCACTGTCATTGGTGGGTAGATTATACCACTGCACAATGTTTGGGTCCTTGCATGAAGCTTTAACTGACTGTTGCATTAATAACAGAAACATATTCTGTGCTTATGTGGCTACATTTAGGCACCGATGTTGGTTCTTTGAAGTTTGAACTACATTAGAAATATAAAAGCCATTCATGATAACTTTCAAGTTTAAGAACTTGAAATGGTTTCAACCACATGTTTTTTAAATGAGCCAAGCAAGATGGTCTTTTAGCTCCATATGATATCCTCAAAGTTCAACGAAACTAAAAAGATAGGAATAATTAAAATTAAAACAATAAGGAATTTTTTTTAACGGGGGAAAAAGGTTTGGGGCATCAATTTCCTTCATAAATAACAATTGTAGCACACCCTATAAATCCATTGTGAATGCTCAATTCTTCATATTCTTCTTTAAGTTTCTTTGAATAACAAAAAATAAAATTTTAATTATATTGTGAATTCATCAAATGAAAGAAATGCATCCAGAAGTCCAATGAAAAAGAAAACATTTATAGAAATTGTGAGAACACAAGGAAAAGTGCATTTAAAACAACATACAATCAAATTATAGAGAGTGGTTCTTAAATATCCATAATTTTTTAACTTATTCTGAAATAGTTGATTTCCCATTAATATTCTTACTCTGTTCTTTAACAAATTCAATGGATGAATACAGAAATTGGTCAAAAATAATTAGCCCACCTATTTTTCTTGGATCAATTCAGAAGAAATATTATGAACCTTTAGGAGAGCCAAACACATATCCTAAATTATACAATAATAACCAAAAAGGATATTGTAATTTGTTGATTTTTCTATGACATAAAATAAGTTTAGAATGAAGTTTATTTATGCACTTCAAGTATAAATCATGCATCAAATTTCATGGAAAATTATACTTTTAATTATCAAGGCCTTTATACATATATACTACAATGAGATTTGATTTTGAAAGTAATAGAATGCTTCATTTAGATGTATAGAAAGAATCATGCCAAGTGCTGAAAAACTTGTAGCTTTTACTTGGGATGCTTATGCCAAAAAACCTAAGCAAGTAGATTTAGAATTCAAGATTAAAGAAATACAATAGTTTTTTCAAAAAAAAGTTGGTTAATTCTTCAAAATTTAAGGGTTGAAACGTGTAAAAATCGCAAGGCAGTGTTTTATGAAGACTATATTACTTTTTCCATTCTTTTTTTCTTTTTTCTGTGACTAATATTAGAACACAAAATGATTCATTCAGTCAATCAAGTAATCAAATGTATAGAGCTAAATGAAGATTGTAATGATCAACAAAACAATAATTGGAGCCTCTAAAAATAAATGCAAATAAACTCGAAATGATTTTTCCATTCCGTTTGGATCACGGGTTTAGAAAAGTAAAGAAATTTTTGTCGTCTCTCATCTACGCGAGTAAAGAAAATAAATTATTATGCTTTCTCACTATCAAGAATGAGTAAAAAAAACAAAGTATGTGATATATAGGAATATGGATGACATTTTTTTCTTATTTTGTATTTTAATCATTAATTGGATATAGGGATATGGGTAAAATAGGTAATCTAGGTATTATAAAAATATACAATCAATCAATTTGTTTCTTACTAAATTGGTGAGAAATGAAACCTAGAAAATAAAAATAAAAATAAAAAAGATTCTGATTTCTCTCAATTTCTCGCCTACCCGCTCATTTCTCTCAACTTCCCACCAAACCTATAAACCAAACATAAGAAAAAGGCTTATCTTTCTCTTCGTTTCTTATCGATTCTCATTAAATCCCTCAATCCAAACAGACTGAAATTGAAATGAAGAAAAACTTAAACACATATACATATACACCATACACACATGCGTACATTCATAAAATTATGGATGTAAACAATACCAATACGCACATTGTGAGTGTGTTGTGTATATGAATTTAGGAAAGACAGCAAAATACCTTGAAATGGAGAGGAACACCAGTATTAGGGCCAATGCCCTTCTCACCAGTACAAAGAGCCCTGAAATTCTCTGCAGTTTTGGGGACAACATCTTTGTAAAGCTCCACCACTATCCTCCCTTCTACCTCTCCTCCAATGCTTATGTCCAGGAAGCACCTTGGATTCACCATTATCTCTCTCTCTCAAAAATAAATAAAAAAAATAAGAGCTTCTTCAGCAGCCCAGAGATTGAATTGAAGCACAAAACAAAGAGAAAAACCCTAAACCCTGTTTATGATTTTGGAAGTGAAAAGGCTGTGATGGGAACTACAAAGCGCTCTAGCTGATTGCTAAGGTGAGCAGTGCAGCGAGTGCGCGTTTGATTATTTTATTACTGTGTGATTTGTGATACAGTGTTGCCGAGGAGTAGGTATACTGGAGGGATCTCCTGAAAAATTATTAGGTAGTCTTGGGCGCCTTGGATTCAATAATTTATTATGCATTTTTTAATCATTGAATACAAAGAAAAATGTCAAAATGTTATTTATTAAGGTTGGGTTTGGTAGATTTTTGTAAATATGATTTGAGAGTATGAGTTATATTTTGAGTTTGGGAGTTGTGAAATTATGATTTGAGTGCAGAAAATTTGTTTGGTTATAATTTTTGAATTGAGTTTTGAATTGTATATGGAATTGAGTTTTAAAAGTTTGATGCGACATGTGAAATAAGAAAATTTATTTGGTGATGAGTTTTCAAAATAATTTTAAAACTTAATTCAACTTATAATTGATAATCAAACACACAACTTATAACTCAATATCCGTATTTTTGATCAACAGTCGTAACCAAATTATTTTTAAAATACTCAAATAAAAAAATAATTTTTTTTTCAATTAATTGTTTTTAAGTAATTTTTTTGAATAATTTTTTTTTCAAATAACTTCTATGTCAATTAATTTTTCTGTCAATTCATTTTTTAGGCCGGTATAAATATTAAAAATATTAAAAATATACAAAAAAATAAAATATTAAAAATATTCCGAAAATCAAAATATTTACAATTAAAATATCAAAATATTAAAATTAAAATATTATAATATTTTTATGAAAATTAAAATATTAAAAATATTCCTATAAAATAAAGTAAAATATTTAAAATAAAAATTAAATTGTTTTTGAGTTTTGAAATAAGTTTTGAATTGTGTGTTTGGTTATAAATTTTGAAAAATAATGATTATAGTTTAAAATGAATTTTGAAAAAAAGGTATAAAACTACAACTAAAATACCACGCTCAAATCAATAGTGAAATTATATTTTAAAATCTAAACCAAACAAAACCTAAATTTTTTATCAAATTTCTCACAAAAATATAAAACAAATACAAACTGGCATGTACATAAATCTCATATTCACATAAAAAATTTAATAAATCATTTAAATTCCCTAAGCATAACTCCAATAAAAAGTCATAAGTCTCATTCTTCCACCAATTGGCGGTATCAAGGTGAACCAATAACTTCTCGAACTACTGATTTGGAAATTGGAGGTGGAGCTGAAGAGGACAAGCAATCTGTCGGAGGTGCTTAGAGTTGATTTGATGAATCCTCGCCACTAGGAATCTGACAACAGGGTGTGGGGCCATTTCTGCCGATCACCTGCCAAAGATAAATTATTTAGCCTCCGTCTGGGAAGTGGGTTGACTTTTTAGTTTTTTTAGCTATTTTAGCTTGGGCTAAAAAGTTTGGTTTGGGAAGGACTTTTTGACTTTTTGGCTTTTTTGACTTTTTTTGTGAGAGAAGAATGTAATGATTATGGGTTCGATGTGATATTTTATTTTTTTGGCTAAAATAGCTTATTTTGTCTTTTGTGGCTAAAATAGTCAAAAAAGCCTCATTTAGCTCTTGTCAAACGGAGCCTTAGGCTAAGGCCGCTTCCTTTAAAAAAATTAAAAAGTAACTATCTTATTTAAATTATATTATCTTATTTAAATCACATCACTTCTCTATTACATCATTTCAAATTCAATTCATATTTCATAAAAAATAAAAAATAAATTACTTATTTAGATTATCCCAAATTACCTCTTACTCTCTCTGCTCAAAATAATAATTCTTTTAAAAAACTTAACTTTTTTTTATAGTCTAATTATTATAGTTTAAAGATAATTTTTTAAAATTATTCTTTAATAGTATATTTTTTAAAAAATATTAATTATTATTTTTGTATTAATAATAAATTTAAAAAAAGAGAAAAATAAAAAATTTATATTATTTTAATTCTTAATTTTTTTAAATAGATTAATATTTTAGAATAATAAAAAATAGAATAAGGGACTAATATTTTAAGACAGAGAGAATATATAAAAAAAATTATAATTCAATGTAATTTTAAATAAATTATAAATTTAATTTAAATATGAATTATTGTCTGTAATTTAAAAAATTGCAAATATTTTCTTGTCTAATTTATTTATTTAATAAAATTAACTAAAAAAATAAAATTCGTAACTGCTCTTCTATATAATAATAAAATTACTTAAATTATTAATTAAATTATATTTCTGACATCATTAAAAATTATTAATTAATTTGATGACTTATTAATAAAATGATTTATTTGTTATGAATTTAGAAATTTCAAGGGACGGTATGTAATTTTCAGAACCACATGGGTTATTCATATTTTTTTAAAAAAAATCTCAAGGGGCATATTTATAATTTATTCTAAAAAAAAATTATGAATATTAATATTAAAATATGAATCTTTTGTTTATGTGTATGTAACTATTTTTTCAAATACCATTGAATTGTAATCGCTTATCTCCAGTTGGATATTGTTGAGTTTAGTTGACTCATTTTGAGGCTCACTTTGAATGATTTAAATTGTTTATTTCTTAAGATTGATAGAGAAAAGCGACTATATAAAAAATTGGATTGATTGCATATCAATAGTTAGATGCGATCACATTAGTCTTTAAAAAATAAATTATTTATTTTGAAAATCATGTTTGTTGTTCAATTTTGTAAGACAACTATAATTTAAATATGTAACTAATTATATCCGATCAACTTAATTTTTTTAAGTAATTATCTTCTTGACAAGTCTTGCAAATAAATGATTTAGATCACAGATGGGATCACCGAGCCCAACAACCCCTCTCCAGTTCGATCACCTGTGCATTCAAAAAAAAAAGAGGAAAATGGAAAAACACTAAAATTCAGTTTTTAAGGGTTACCAGCACAGAATTTCTTCAATGTTTCCAATAACATCATTATCTTCCCTTTTGTTGAATTGAATATATATGGGGAATACTTGTAATTACTAGTAATTACATTAACAAAACAGTTGTGAAAGTGCAGACGCAGTAAAGTGGCTGCCATTTTAGTATAATTCACAATAGCTCGCCGGACAACGGAATATGTGTTAGGCTTGGACATGTGACATCATAAAATTTGTAGTCAAGTTGACCACATACAAAATGACCAAGGAACAAGAGCTAAAACAAGGGAACAAATGAAAGTTTGCAGACACTCGAACTCATATATTGAATATGAATTAGTGCATCTCTAATGCTGTGTTTGGTTGGAAGATTTGGAGAGGGATTTGGAAAGGGAAAGGGAAAAGGTGTGTGAAACTATGTGAAATATAGGCATGATTTATTCACATTTCACCTACCTAAGCTGTTTTCTGACTTCCACAAAGCTATAAGCTATAAGCTATAAGCTAAACCAAACACATCAAAATAGCTTAAATTAAGCTGAAAGCTGAAATAAGCTGAAATTAAGCTGTACCAAACAGGGCCATTGAATATGAATTAGTGCATCTCTAATGCTGTGTTTGGTTGGAGGATTTGGGGAGGGATTTAGAAACGAAAAGGGAAAAGGTGTGTGAAATTATGTGAAATATAGGCATGATTTATTCACATTTCACCTACCTTTTTCATTTCCCTTTCCAAATTCCTCCCCAAACCCCCCAACCAAACACAGCATTATCTCAAGTACAGTGTCAGTAGTAGTAGGAAGTAAGAAACATACTAAATATAATACTAGTCAGAGAATTTTAAGGAGGATGTGGCTGTTAATTTCATTGTGTTTTGGGGAGTGATAGAGCCACTATAACCACAATTTTTGTAAAAGGTAAAGAAACCTGTCACTCCCATTTAATGGATTATATAAATCCCTGAGTGGCAAGATGAGGTATATACCTTCTGAAAATAACAAGAGCAGCGGATTGCACATTAAAATCTCATGTTGATTTGATTGGTAAGGGGGTAGAAGTGGCGACCGCCACAAAGTTTTGAAAACTCCCTTTATTATAGCAATATTAATTAGGAATTTTTTTTTTAAGGTCCTTCTTATTAAGATTTTATAACATAAAAGATATTTAATATTTTTATAATGTCTAAGATCCCTCAATTTGATCCAGAGAAATCTTATCCAGGGAAATTCTGGACTTCCAAAGAATTTCTCTGTATTCAATCCAGAGAATTCAAATTTCTCTGGTCCAGAATTTCTCTAGAGCTATAAAACTCTGATTTGATCAATTTGTCTTTGGTTCTGCTACTGCTGATTCAATCACAATTTCCTGCACAAACAAATTAATAGTTCTTCTATGAGTTTGTGATAGATTTTCTTTAAACTTAACGCTATGGTTGATTCTTGGATTTATTTTGGAATAATATAGTTTAGCAACTTGATGTGTAAAACCTCATACCTGATTGGCACTTGGAATTTTTTCCTGTCTGGTGGTGCTAGCTGTGGCAACAGCAGCGGCTGCAACTTCTGGTTCAATGGTTGCTGGCGCTGCTTTGTCAGCTTTCTCTTCGTTCACCTCCACAGACTCTACTTTCACAGGCTCAACAGCTGGAGCTTCCGGTTCAGCGGTGGCTGGAGCTTCTGGTTCAATGGTTGCCAGAGCCACATCTTTGGCTTTATCTTTGTTCACTTTCTATATTTTTTGAAAAACGAAATCAGAAAACAAAAAGCAAGAGGTTTTGCTTAGTTGGTTGGCAATTCTTCGTGAGAGTGACTAGCGAGCTGGATCGACGAGAGAGAGAGAGAGAAAAGAACAACGAGGAGAGAGAGAGAGAGAGGGGGTAAGGGTTTGAAGGTGTGAGATATATCAAATTTCTCTGTAGGAACCTTAGACATCATAAAATAATATTGTGGATATCTTCCATTACTAAAAATGAGAGATGGACCTTAGATTAATTTTCCCTATTAATTAAGAACATTACATTCCCTAACATTCCAATCCTTGACCTCATACCAAACCCAACCACCACTTTACCTATTTTCAATTGCCACTTCTGCTCCATCCCAAGGTTTCAAACGGTGGGGCTAGGATTTTCAAAGCTAGTTTCAATCTGTTGGCAGTGGATGGCAGTGAGTAGTGGCAATGGCAGCGTTGAAAAACGGTGAG